CGCGCAGGGGTACCTAGTAAATTTATTTTAATACCATTAAAAATACATTTGGAGTGAGTTAGTTTATTGTAAACATTTTTTACATCGTGACTGTTGCAATTTTAATTCTTACTATTACGATAATACGATTACATGATTGCCTGAATTTATAGTCGTTACGATAAATTTGTATTGCACCGGCGTGCTTTTGTTTGTGTTCGTAATTGACTTTTGTTTGCGCGTCGGTATCTTACGTTGTTCTTAGTCCATAGTCATTTTTATTACGTTTTCGGCCGAATTTCGTTTCGCACGAACAATAATACAGCAAAGCAACAAAGTTGCGTGGCACTATTACAAACACACACACAAAAACTGCAACAATGCGCGCTTATATTTTATAGTTATAATATCAATGGACAGCGATGTGAACTGGGACAAGCTAAATTATCAAATCGTTGTTTGTTGTTGCCTGATTTTTTTCTTCTCAAGACCATACTGGCTTAGTTTTTATAGAATTGCACGACTATAACTGTAGAAAATGTATGACATAATGTACACATTTATTAATTATGTCAAAACATTCTAATGCGCGAGTTGTTTTTGCAATAATTGTTGCAGTTTCGCATGAAGGTATGCGAGGCATTAAACACTATCATTACGCACCGAGAAGTGGAGCTAAACGAATGCGAAATTGCGAAAAAATGGCTAATAACATGTCGTTTTAAATCATTTCATGTTCCAGAGAGGAAAGACGTCGTAAATGCAATAATTGCGTGCATAAATTGGATGCGGATCGTTAAAACGGCGATAAAATTATTTAAACAAAATCTTACTAAAGTCGCCTTGAGTATTATCAACCAGTTAATTGTTTAATAGGTGTGCTTGGCCCTTGAAGCAAAGAAACCCTGGTCGTTTGAAATTTGTTTGATCACCTTCGACGAGAATTTAGGTTAAATATTAGTAATATTGTTATCATTCGCTTGTGCATTGCTGGAAAATTTAAATTTTTAACCTACATAAAGGTTTTTCACTCGGCCATTTGCATTTTCTGAAAATTTGTGAGTAAAAAAAGTTTAAAAACGCGTTTATTGTGCCCGTTTAAGCACATTGACTTTTATTTTTCCAACTGCAAGCAAATTGTACTTTTGGGTACACGGTCACGACAAACGCATTGACAATTCCGAATTACCGCGTAATACCACACGACTTGTGTGTTGTATGTTTTATTATCACTGATTATCGTCGCCTACGAGTTGTGTGGTGAGGGTTGATAATGAAATGTATTTAAGTTTTTGTCTACGCTGGTGTTTACACAGTCTTTAGAAACGCGACGCATTGTACGGTAGAGAAATCAAGTGTTAATTAGTATATTTCATAGTGGTTTGTGATGCAAATGAAAATGAAAATCAAGCTGAAGATGACGAATGGCGATTTATTGCGTTTTTGGCTGGCGGCCAACGAAAACGGCGCCTACGCATTTCGGTGAGTGATTTACACGCGGATTTTTCGCCTGTTGGGAGAGGGGGAAACGGAGAATGTTTTTGGTGTTTTACTGTGTGCCACGTGTTGTCTGGACCTGGTCTTTTTCCATTTTCAATGTCAGAGTTATTTATTGTTTTGTTGTTCCAAGAAACTGCGATTCTTTAATATTTCGCGTGTTTTCCGCTCGGTTTTTGTGGTGATTCTCGATTCGCACAAACACAATGTAACATCGATGATTTATTCCTACGACTTTCTACCCTTGTGGAAAGTTCACAGTTCAAGGTTTTGGACGTTGACCGAGTTTTGCGCTTTGGGTTTTATCTGTTTCGCTTCCGTTTGCGCCGTTGTGGCACGTGGAGGCCTTGAAACTGAGATTGCGGCCGAGGGTACACGTTTTGATGATCAAGGTTGCACGTGTAGTACCACACCATCCCCTGAGAGTAGATGCGGATGCAGAAACAGGTCATGGTCAACAATGACGCACTCGTCATGCAACAACCACCAACTTGCAAATTGGTTTGCTGACCTCAAGTTTCTCTTGAAATTGGTGCGTGGTGGCATTGTTTCGACCGATTATGAATTAAAATTTCGCCTGGGTTTTGAACTTGACTGCCTCTGCGGTATGACTCTTTGACTCGTTTCGTTTTCTCTTCTTGTTGCGGAGTCAAGATCACTGGCTCTGCTTTCTGTGTTTATGTCGCTTTCATCTGAATCCTCATCTGCCTCCTTGCATGCCGCAGCTATTTATATTTATGCGTCGCTTGTGTATGTATAAAATTAAACATCAAAGATTCAACAGTAAAACAAGCATAGACGGTTTTTTCGGTAAATTTTGTGGTTTTCGGAAAGAAGCAGTAATTATTTTGTGTGTTGATTATCTGATCACGTAGTGTGGTGAGGTGTTGCTGCTGCCTGCATCCGCGCCGGTTTTGGTGTTCGCTTTCGTTGTCGAAATCGCCGTCGACACTTTCACCATCGCGTCATGTAAGCAACAACAACAAGCGGTAGCAACCAGTGATCCCAAAAGCATTTTTATTATCATAAATTTAGATAATCTCACATAACCAAACTTTAAAATCATTTTAAAATAAATATCCCTAGAAATAGGGGAATATTCCTAGGTTGGCAACACTGGTAACCAACTACCAGTACCGTATTAGTTAATTTTTATTTTTATTTTTGGTAAATCAATCACCATTGATTTATTGATTCTCCAAAAAGGTGAATGTCCTCACATTGTCCACAAGGGTGATTTTAGTTAGTTTTGTGTTCTACATTCCAGTCACCTTCACCTTTCACACGCATTTCCGGTTTTATTTACCCAAGTATATGTTTGCTGTTGCGTGTTTTGAGCCCCCATCATGCAACCGCTAATCGCACAATCGCGATGGTGGTGCCAAGTACTCATTACCGTGAATATAACACATTTCCATGAAATCTACCCCTTCTTCTATTTATGCCCTAACCCTTTCATTACCTTTGTTGTGTATATTTACCTACCAGTTGGTGGTTAACAGTCGCCATGTCGCCACGATGGCGGGAAACTCTTTGTGCAATTTGCATGCAGGGCACACAAATTGATTCGACTTTGTTTTAACTTGCACGAAGAGCCCATAAACTTTTATTTTTCCAATAGTTCTGGAGGGGAAGGATGGTGGGCATCGTATTATGTGCTCAGAAAGTGCGCGGCTTTTGTGCGTTGAGTGTGTGCATATTAAAAATCGACAGGTAATAGGCACCTATCTAGTTTTTTATGATTTTTTTATAATTGCGGATGCACACGTGCATCGACGCCATATTGTTTTATTTCTCTTGTTTGTGTGTATGTTGTGTGGTTGTCGAGTGAAAGCAAAATCGTTGCACGTAGCACGTAGGCGGTTAACATCATTGTTATTATTCTCGCATCGTCGGTGTCGATGAGTCGTTGCACTTTTGTTTTATGTCTTTTAAAGACGCGCATAGGTTATTGCTTTAGATTTTAACATTTGAATATTTTTAATATCAAAATATACGAATTTTATAAAAATGATTGTTTTTGTTTAAAGAATGATAAAAAGAAAGACAAATGAAATTGTAACGTGGGAATTGTGTAAATTAATTCAATTAATAATGATTGGTGTTTATAGGTCGTATAAATATCTTATTTTCTAGTTAAATTGATTCAATTTATCTTATTTTTATGTATTGATTTGTTGAAATTTTAAATAATTAAGTGTTTAAGGTGTAGCTGGCGATTTAAAAAGTGAAATTTTTTCTTTCTGACTTCTTTTATGAAATTTCCACTTAATTGCTATGCGATCCGATGGTGATGGTGATGTGATGTGATATCATAACTAGAAGTATATACTTTTTCATCATCTAGTTTTTAACTATATAGCTCCGCCATATACTTTACGACTAGAGAGTTTGTTTCTTTTCCTTTTTGCGGTGCATTGCCTCATTACTTCGCATAATGTTGTAATCGTAATCGTTCTCTGCCGTTTTATAGTCGACATGCATGCTGTACCAACAAATTCAGAAGTTGTGCACATGTTTTTATTGAAAACTGGCGCATTTATATTCAAATTAGTGCATTATTTACAATTTTGCTATTTTAAACACCCTATAGGTTATATTTCGCGACAAAAAGTAGTCTATGTTATTCTCCTAGGTTTATAATATTTATGTACTAAAATTTATAAAAATTGTTTGAATAGTTTTTGTGTTATTGCGCCACAAACATACAAATAACGTTACACTGGCATTTATAATATTAGTTAGGATGAAACTGTGGATGCACATTATTGTCCATCTGGTGGGTTAGATTTGACATTGACCAAACATATCGAATCACCACACGTATCTGTTTCGTTGGTTCGTTTTTTATTTTATTTTTTACAGGCTAATGCACTTGCGTCACACTATATTTTTTCCTACTTCAAGGTTTTAAACCACAAAAGTGCAAATATTTTGCTCTGTTATGTAAATTAATATACGCTCGCGCTGTATATGAATCCAATTTTTTTCTTGATATAATATAAAATCGAATGTAATTGTAATATTATGCGATAAATACGAGTATGTTTGTGTTTGTGTGTGTATTGCACGCGCGTGTCACTCCTGCCCACTGGTTGGGTTCACGTCGGGATCGCGCGAGTTCCGCGGCATGAATTTCGCCTAAAATTTGCGCTTTAGTGCACTCGTCGCTTTTGTCACATGCGCATGTGAGTGAGCTCGCGCAAAAAATAATCGCCAACAACGTCGCAAATCCGTTGTACTGCAAATTTTTCGCAATTACGTGGATTATTGGTGCGCAACTTGTGCGACAACTAGAAAATAAAAAAGCAAATAAACCCGTATTGTGTGTATTTAGTAGCATAATCTGTGTGACGCCCTCTATGTGCGGGTAGTCATCAGTGATCGCCACGGCGGAATCGACTTTGTTTTACGTTGCGCCCGATTTCATTGTTAATCTTGATGGCTTATCAGACAGGTCTTAATTTTTATTTATTTTTAAAATTAAATATTGATTATAATATATGAAATTTTTATTTTTCCAGTCTTAGTGAATGCTATTTTGCCGGCAAGGGCACCGCGCTGGTCCTACCCGCCGCCTCCGAGGCCCAGAAGGCGTCGCGACGCGCCAGCGCCGGCTCCAACATCCAGAAACACCTCCAGTCTATGTTCTACCTGTTGCGACCCGAGGAGACTTTAAAAATGGTACGTATTATTTACAGATATTGATTCGAACATGATTAATCAGTGATAAATATGATAGACGATAAATAAACATATGATAAAGCGGTGTTAATAAACTATGTTGAACCCACGACACAATAGTTGTGCTTCAGTTAGTTAACACGTTGTTCAAACACTTCTACTAGGAACGTGCGAATGTGTCAAATGTTTAACTAACATTCAACTTGTGTTTGTAGCTTGTTTATGCAAAGTTGAATGTCGAGACTTGAACGTTTAAATCGTTTGAAGTAATTTAAAGATTTCGGGAAGCAATTAAAGAGAAATTTTGATTTACCTTAATTTCGAATCAATAAAATCAATGAATACGCCATTAAAATAAACGTTTTTGATTGCCTTAATGTTTTGATTAATATTTTGGTGCGGTGAATAGAAATCGGATGTGGTTTTTAACAAGTTATGAAATTTGTTTATTCATTTCCTTTTTTATAAGCACTTAAACACGTTAAAACGGGTTTTGATTTGTTTGTAATAAAATTTAAATTATAGTTTATTATTATCAGTTTGTTAGTGTAGCCTTCGGAATATTATGCAATCAATATTGAAGATTATTTTTCGTGGTAAATTTTCCTTGAAACGCTGAAAATTATCAGTGCTTTTTAAGTTTGCGTGTTAGCGATGTTTGCCGCGTTGTAAAATTGATTTAAAGAGTTTGGAAAATGAAAACGCTGCTGGTGTGCAGTTAAACGACGGACGATCGAGCGTAATTATATTTTTAAAACTTGGCCGCGCGCCAAGTGCCGAAAATTTTAAATAAAGCAGCTGACATACGCGGCCGCACGACCATGGTCGACGATTTTCCACGTTTTTCGCCAAATATGGACATTTCGGCTTAAAATAATCAGTTTTTATTTTATTTTGGATTTTTTAATTCGATTATAAACGTAGGTAATTAGAAAGGTATCAATTTATAAATGTCAATCATTGCAGAATAAATAAATAATTAAATCTGAGCATGATTTATTGCTCACGCTCACAGCGCACTCAAATTAATAAATGAATTGTGAGAAATCTCGCAATGCTACTCATATTTGTAGGCGAGTGTTTGTGCTATGGTTGAATGAACGAATGGATTATTCGCGTGTTTAATTTATTTGGGTCAAGTTTGGAGTTTGAATTTCGTGCGCAATTTATGCGAAAAATAATTTACGACTAGTTTAAAAATAAAATAAAAACAGACTAAAAATAACTGATAACTGGAATAACAAATAAAATATTTATGATATTTGCATTGTGACGCGCGCGCCCTCTGTGTGTGAGTAGTTTACAACCGCAATCTAAATGACATTTGCATTATTTGCAAATATATCTACGCTGAAAGGTCGCGGAATGCAAACTCTCACGATTTGCGATTGCATAAGTCTCATCTTCAAGAACATCTTGCAAAGTTTTGCTAAGAGTTCGTGATGTAGAATTTCTACGTAATTAAAAGTATTTGAATTGTGCCTTTTGAAATGTTGGCTAATAATTAAAAGATGTTGAACGGCTTGACACGCGATTGTAAAATGGATTTGCACGTTGAAAGGCATCCGAAGATTAAATTGAACTAGGTCAGTGCGACAAAACGCTAGCAGCTCATTGCGCAACGAAACTAGGTGTATTGTGGCTAAATAATTTAATTTCTGTCTGGAAAAAATACGAATCGCCGTGTATCTTGTATGGCGCGCGCTGGAAATAAATTCGTGACATGAAGAAATCGTTAGAGGTGACTGTCGGTTGGTTCTTCTAGTTATTTACTGTGTGCGCACGATTACGTGACGCAATTGCGCGTACGCTCCGAGCATAATATTACATACTCGATGGTACTTTGTTGGAAATTTCGAATGATGTGAATTTATTTTCGATTTTTTTGCTTTTATTTCAGGCTGTAAAATTAGAAAGTGTCCATGCGAATCGCACGCGTTATCTGGTGGTGGTTTCACGGATGGGCGCGCGTGCTGAAGAGTCCTGCCTTCTGGGGATTGACTGCAATGAACGGACAACGGTCGGCATGGTGCTCAAGGTGCTTGCTGATACTGCCATCACGTTGGATGGTGATGGGTAAGTTTAAAATTGATTTTTTTTTTTTAAGAGAAAAAAAAATTTGCAAAATCTGTGGATTTGGTTCTAGGTCGAATATAAGTTTGCGATGTGACCAAATTATCCGCGTAAACTTGACACGAAAATATCAACGTATAGCTAAAATTACTTAAAGACCCCGCGTCGCGTCTTTAAGTTGTTTTTAAACGTTTTCAACTCTCGCGCAAAGTCGAAGAAGTACATTTCATTTCGCGTGTGTGCATGCTGGTAATGATGATCGGTGCGCGACTGAGATTTAAGACGCTTCGAGGTGATTGTGGCTAATTGCAGAGCCACAGGTCGCAGCTCTTTGTTTTAATGTGCTCATCGACTGAGGTCGCGCAGCAAACACACGCCGGGTAATTGAGCACAAACGCAGCGCGAGTCGTGCGAACTTTGACACTTGAAAAATAAAAATAATATTAATATGTTTTATAAATTTGTATGTTTTTTTTCCTTTTCAGTGGCTTCAGCGTGACTGTCTGTGGGCGGCATCACATCTTCAAGCCGGTGTCGGTGCAAGCTATGTGGTAAGTACACTTAAATTACTTGTTTCACTTCCTGCGCATGCGCGACCGCGCGCACCGGTTCCCTTAATAAGCCGTAAACGTACGTGGAAGTTCCATTTAAGGATAACAAGTTTACCTACAGTTGCGAATAAATATTTCATACCACATTCCAGTTATTCATAAATTTTAATGAGCACATTAATGATATCCGTGCTTTTTTTGGTTGGAAATTTTAAATTTGTTCCCTCCGCGTAACTCATCTGCTCATGCGCATGTATGTGTGTTTATTTACCTTGACTTAAATTTAGCCGACGCCCGAGAATGCACTATTTCGGCGCATATTAATAGACTAATTGGCTGTGTGTGCATTCGTATTGTCGCTCGTCGCTTGCATCACATTCGCTGTGTAACTTCTACTCGTACATTAGTTTATTCACTCCTCAAATCTTTCCTTTTCGAGTTGAATGTGGTTAATTTCGTCTGTCCATTCATGTCAGTCAAAATTTTAAGTTTGTTTGGCCGGTGCCGAAGGTTGCGCGCACCGAGGCCCTTAAATGGCCACGTGGCTCGCCGCCGCGACGGCGAACTTATTTGGGCGCGTGCGCGCGCGACTTAACTAACTCTCTTGAACTGAATTTAACTTCGCGCCGACAAATAATGCTCACTTAAGTCATGTTTTATTTAGTTTTTTTGCGCATGCAATTGGCACAATTGAAAGTAAGTGTGCATATTTTCGTTTCGGTTACGTTTGAATGTTTGATTATTTCGATTTTGCTGGTCTACTAGTGTAGAGTGGTCTACCCACATCCGCGAATCACCAAACATGGCGGTCGCGCGCGCGCCGACCCACTACACTCTGTCTTACTTTAACGCTAACTTGTTACTCTTTTGTTGTTCGATGAATGCCCACATTTATTATGATTTTTCCTCTCGCCATAAAATAATTTCGAAGGCAAACGAGCGAAAATGAATTCATGTTTAGTTGCTCGACGACAGCGGACGCATTAAGTCGCGCGTGCGCTGCGCGAATTTTTTTTCATTCGGTCCGTTATGCAGAGATAAAAGTGCATAATTGTGTTTGATTTGAGTGAATCAAGTGTGTTTTGTGTGTTTTTCTCATAAATTTGTGTGAATTTACGTTGAAAAATCGTGATTTTTGCTAATTTTACGTCGCCATTTTGGTCCGTACGAGTTGTGTTACCATTTTTGTGCTCTGACGTTGGTGTTGAGGAGGTTGACTAGATGGTCAGACTCGGAATGACTCTATCACTCATTTAAATTTGCTAAAAATTGCTTCTAAACACCCTGTATCACCTGCACAACTGAAATAATTCGATTTCTTTCGATCGCTGAAAGAAAACTCGTTAATTATCATGGTTGTCAATCGGAGAGGTTCATTTTTGATGTGGAATTCTAAAAGGTTGCTTATTGCTTATTCCTTCGGGAATTCTATGATTGTATCATGAAGGGAATCTTGATTTGTGCTTGCAGGTCAGCATTGCAGACGCTGCACAAGGCGAGTTCAAAGGCGCGCGATCAAAACTACTTCCAAGGCGGGACGACGCACGCGTGGGTGCACTACTATGAATCGCGCATCGAATCGGATCGCTCCTGCCTCAACGAGTGGAACGCCATGGACTGCCTGGAATCACGGCGGGCACCCTCACCGGATTCAGCACGTACCAAACCTACGGCACGTGCTGAAACAGAGCGCGTGATCAAATGCACGCTCAAAGAGATTATGATGTCCGTTGATTTGGACGAGGTGACGAGCAAATATATTCGTTCCCGGCTAGAGGAGCTCTTTGATATGGATCTGGCCGAGTACAAGAGCTTCATCGATCAGGAGATGTTGACCATTTTGGGGCAGATGGACGCGCCTACTGAGATCTTCGACCATGTCTATTTGGGCAGCGAGTGGAACGCTTCTAACTATGAGGAGTTGCAGCGTAACGGGGTGGGGCATATCCTCAATGTGACGCGCGAGATTGACAACTTTTTTCCGGGCACTTTTGATTATTACAATGTGCGCGTGTATGACGATGAAAAGACTGACTTGCTACGCCACTGGGACAATACGTTTAAGTATATTACGAATGCTAAGCGCGAGGGGTCGAAGGTGTTGGTGCATTGTAAGATGGGCGTGTCGCGGTCTGCTTCCGTGGTGATTGCCTATGCGATGAAGGCGTACAATTGGAACTTTGCGCAGGCTATGGAGCATGTTAAGCAGAAGCGCAACTGTATTAAACCCAACACGTCCTTCCTCAGCCAGCTGGAGACCTATCAGGGTATTCTTGATGCGATGAAGAATCGTGAGAAACTTCAAAGGTCCAAGTCGGAGACTAATCTGAAAAGTCCCGGACTTGTTGCTAAGAATGAATTGATTTTGGTTGGGAGTGAACCCACGCCGATTGTTAAGACCATGAATGTGAATCTACCGCGGCCGGTTCATGCGGAGACGATTTCGATGTCTGGGCAGGATCTAAGACAGCTAGGGTCACGTCCCAAGTCTTGGTCTCCGGAGGGTTTGGTAAGCGAAGAGGTGCGGCAGGTTCCGCCGTCATTTCGTTCATTGGAGAATCTCAATCAGCGCAATGGGGAGGAGCAGAAGGAGCTGTCGATATCGAGAGACGCGCCCACGAACAAAGTGAAGCTACTGAAGGATGCCGCAAGGAATGTCCTTTTGCCCTGCGACAATGGAGAGTCTTACAGTGTTTCACCCAATCAAATTATGCACATACCCAATCGCAACCAGGACGCTTTGATAGGCCTGGCGTCGGTTAAGGAGAGGGTGAATGAATTAGAGGCTGCAAAAAAGCGCGAGAAGAAAAAGTTGGTGTTGAACTTGTTTCCGCATGACCAAACCGATGAAGGTGGGACGTCAAAGGAGGCGGAATCTAAGGATATTTGGGATCCGGGAGATCAGCAACAACAGAAGAGTAACAAGACAACTGCAACAACGCATGACTGTGATTTTAAAAGTGCAAAGGACGCGATTAAGACTAGTAGTGACGATGTGAAGGGGGCCTCGTCGCCCCCGGACATGTTTTCAAATCACTGTGATCGGGTGTTTGACCGCGAGGAGCGCAAACAACGCGCGCCCACTTGTAATTTAACCACCGACGAAGAGATTCCTCGAAATTGTCCGTCTAGGCAGAGCTCGTGGTCGTCGTATGACAGCGCTGTGGGGCTAAACTATCAGGGTGAGACACGGGACGTACCATCTCGGCACTCGAGTTGGGGTTCTGGTGATACGCGCATCCTACCATCGCGGAACAGTTCCTGGGGTTCGTACGATATTCGTGCGGGTGTGGCTTCTGCCGCAGGTGCGATTCCTTCAAACAACGGCAACTCGGATCTCATTGCAATAGAGAGCAACGCAGCGGGAATCTTTCCGGGTACGGTACGGCGAACAAAACAGAAATTGGAAGAGAATTCCAACGTGGAAAACACGCCCGCTGCGATCAATATTACTACATCACCTAACACGGACGGCTGCCTCTCGAGGTTATCTGCAAGTGCACCGGAGAAATCCAACATGGAGTTGATGGTGAGTGAGAATGCTAACAGTTTATCGCGATCTGCCTCCAATATTGGCTCGAACATCGTCAGTAATGCGAAAAACTTTCTCGAAAGTTTACACAAAGAGGGTGGCAGACGAGACTTGGATTCAGAAGAACCCACCACCAATCCAGGTATGGTTCAAAGTTTAAAAAAAGAGTTTGAAGCGAAGAACATTGTGGATGCGAAGGTGGTGCAGATGAATCTCACAAATAGCAGTATGGAAAACAGCGGTGTGGTTACTGGTGATAGACGCAGCGTACCCTCAAGCCCTGTTTTGGATAAATCCGAAAAACCCTCAAGTCCCACCTCGTCAGATCCCGGCGAAAACGTGAAAGAATTACGCGGGAAATTTGAAAAATCTTTCAATTTTAAAACCCCATCACCTCAGCCACAACAGATTCATCCACACCCGCATAGGTATTCCTGTGTGGAGGTATCCGTGGAAAAAAGTCCTGTCAGGATTAAACAAACGCCACTGATAACTGGATTCAAACTGGGCTTGCAGGAGAAAAGCGTCGAGAGTGAGTTTAAGCGACCGCCGATGATTCCCGTGGTACGTCACGCACCCAATTTGATTCCCTCGTCACCTCCTGCCCCACCAACATTGAACAACGCTAACCGCCGCCAGCCGCAGCAACAATACGGCAAGAGTCATCCGCTCGCGCAGCTAGGCATCAATAAACAACGCCACAACAATCCTGTGTACAATACAATGTAAGTATTGGTTGTGACGCGCCGCCACTGCAGCGAGTGTGCTCAAGAGGATTTTCCACAAATGGCTGTGACATTTTAACTGCTACACGATACACAAAAATGTAAAACAAAAACCAATGCGCTCAGAAAACTAAACTCGGAAAATAGTAACTGCCAAATTATTTACTGTCTCAAGATGAATAATACGGACCAATGATAGGCCAAAAGATCATAACAATAATAACAATAGCAGTTGCTGAGTGATGCATGAATTTGTTCGTTTTGGAATTTATTTTCGAAATCACACCATCACACATCACATATCAACAAGTTTGCAAATTTTAATTCGTTAAAATTTTTAATTAAAAAAATCCTTTGTGTATATAACTCAAACTTGAATGTTTTTTTTTAGTAATTTATAATTTTTAACTTTGGACACGCTGTGTGCAGTTTTCGTTGATCAACTTTCGGCTGTCGTGTGTGCAATCTAGTCTTTTATCACTGCGCAAAGTGAGATACTAAACAAAAAAACACAAAATTACGAGTATTGTGAGCGCCGGACATGCGAGAAGAAACAAACATTTGAAATTCGCCTTAAACCCTAAAAACTAACTGGTATTGTACAAAAAAAGAAAACAAGAAATGAGGAGGTGGAGAAGACGCGCTATTTTTTCAATATTCTATTCTTGGCTATGTACATTAATGTGTATTCTTAGCACGTAAAACTTTTATTATTGGATAAATGTTGCTATCGAATAATTTCCTCTCTCTCTCATCTAGTATCAATTATTATTTAAACGCTAAACAAAACAAAAGCATTACGTGTGTGATAGCCTGTAAGTCGTTTTTTTTAATTTTAATTAAATTTAAGCGAGTGAAGAGAAGAAGTGTTACATATATTGTCCATACAGATGATGAAATGTAGATAAATGAAAAAAAGACGATAAGATAAACAAATTGAACGCATATTTAATTTAAATCCCCTCTCAAGTCTCAAATTACTTTGGTATGCTGCGGATGATGTAGATTCGCTTCCCTGCGCAGAATGCGAACTCATTGCGCTCAGCTGGTCCAGCACTGATACCCTTGACTGGTTTGTTTATGTTGGATACAAGCGCAACATTCTAAAATGTGGGGACTTAAGTAAAAATGGCGATTGGAATGCATCCCTAGACTTACCTTTTTGTATTGATGTCTAGAAGGCGTACGAAATTGGGTTCCCCACCACCACAAGCAAACTGGTTCCGATTGATGAATGTCCCGCAGTACAACTGGTGGCAGGTAAAGATATTTATACGGCTGGCAACATTGCCTGCAGTTAGTATACTTACCGGTGCCACCTTGAATGTGTCTCCGTCAAATTTCAATGTCTCCTTGCCAGTCGCATAGTCCCAGATCTTCAGTGTTGCGCCTGTTCGCCCGTCCGGGGAGCAAGTTAAAAACTGTAAAACATTTGTTGTCAGTGTGACCACGTGTTAGTATCAACATAGTCGTACTTCTGTTCCTTTCGGTGTGAATTCTAACCCCGGGCCGACAATTGTGACTCCTGAAATATTCCGCATTGCATTCGGTTGTCTCGTGTCCCAAAACTGCACCGTGTTGTCCAACCCACCAGAAATCAATTCGTTGGTATTGCGTGGATGGAAACTCGCGCACGTTACGGTGTGCGTGTGTCCGTTGATTGAGTTCTTATCATCGCTGTGGGAAACAAAAATTGGTGAAATTGGTATTCGCCAAATTAAGGTAAGACTCTTTTATTACGACGCTGATAACACACGCTCCTGCCGTTTGCTGTCTTCGTCGTATAGATTAATCCGCCTGTTATCGCCGAATGTGACAAACTTATTGTTCCTAGGATGATATGCGATTCCGGCGGTAAGACGTTTTTCTTCGGTCGTCCATGTGCATTCCTTGAAATTGTAATTCCAACATTTTATCAGGCCGTTGGAATCTGGAATAATGAAGAAAGTTAGGATTTTCTTTGTGGGAGAATGGATGACACGGACAGGTACACATAAATGTATTCGTAATGGGGTAGTTTCTCGATACTGGGCGGTGTTTCATTCCAGTTGAGCAGGTGTCCTTGGTGAGGTCATCTGTCAAGACAAAAGCCACCTCAAGACGTTCATTAATGGCGCCGATCGTCCCATCTGCATATCCGGCCATTAAGAAATCAAATTCTTCGGTATATTGAAGATTCGTGACAGTCTCGTGACCCTCTCTGCCGTGGATAAAGGAAAAGTAGAAACGGTAAGATATTTTATGAATCGATAAATGATATGGAAATTACAAAATGGTTGCCGTCACACTGCCTTTTATCTGGAGCGGCTCCTGCACCTGCTTTATCATGTTAATTCAAACCAGAAACTATCACTCTCAAATCAGATAACTTTAGAGTACGTGGAATTTAACTCATGGCATTATTTAAGTGTCAGTTTTGAAGTTTGAATGGTAAAAGATGGAGCCACTGAAAAAGTTTATTTTGGTGAACGGTTTTAAAGTATACTAAGTTGAACGGTTGAGAATTCGATTAATATTATGTGGAAAATTAATTTATAGGCGGGCACTATTAGTAACTTAAGTAGGATAATAAACAGCATATATTTCATATTTATAACCCTCGGGAAAGTCACAAACATGTCCTTTTTGTGTTTTTCGCTCGACTTTTTTTAGTGGTTTTAGGTGTCTAGCGGCCCAATCTGATGTCGTAGGACAATGTTTTTTTCACCAAATTATAGGTACTAAAATTCTCTATTATTTTCGTATATAACTTGTGGGTTTATCCCTTGAGAAACCTACGAAAATGCCCTTTTTGTGTTTTTCGTTGTCTAATTTTTGGTGTTTTAGGTGTCTAGCGGCCGAACCTGATGTCGTAGGATAACGTTTTTTTCACCAAATTGTAGGTACTAAAATTCTCTATTATTTTCGTATATAACTTGTGGGTTTATCTCTTGAGAAACCTACGAAAATGCCCTTTTTGTGTTTTTCGTTGTCTAATTTTTGGTGTTTTAGGTGTCTAGCGGCCGAACCTGATGTCGTAGGATAACGTTTTTTTTCACCAAATTGTAGGTACTAAAATTCTCTATTATTTTCGTATATAACTTGTGGGTTTATCTCTTGAGAAACCTACGAAAATGCCATTTTTGTGCTCTCGTTGTCTAATTTTTGGTGTTTTAGGTGTCTAGCGGCCGAACCTGATGTCGTAGGATAACGTTTTTTCATCAAATTGTAGGTACTAAAATTCTCTATTATTTTCGTATATAACTTTTGGGTTTATCCCTTGAGAAACCTACGAAAATGCCCTTTTTGTGTTTTTGGTTGTCTAATTTTTGGTGTTTTAGGTGTCTAGTAGCCGAATCAGATGTCGTAGGACAACGTTTTTTTCACCAAATTGCAGGTACTAAAATTCTCTATTATTTTCGGATATAACTTGTGGGCTTATCCCTTGGGAAACCTAGAAAATTAAAATAAAAGTACGGTAATTTAATTGCTTCAAATCACATACTTTCTGTTATTGCGTGCGTTGTTGTTTTCAACTTACGAACATAGATTGTCGTCCCTCCAACTCTGGGTCGGTTATCAATTCTCTTTCTTGTTTAGCCCGGTTTAGTCGTTCGTGCGCCGTGGTGTGGTGTGCACGTGTTTTGTTCTTAATCAACTTTCGTGACATTTGTTAGCGTTACTAAAGATCTTAATTCTGTCATTAGTTCAGGTATTAAGTTTATGTGATTGCACGCTGCTGTTTATCAATCGTGGATTAATTTTTGGTTCACCGGTGCGCTCGTGTTCATTGACAATCAGTTATCGTTTCACACACAAGAATAACTTGGATTTAGAATTAATTCCTGCAAATGTTTGTGAGTGCACGGATTGAGTTTGCAATATCTTTAGCTCAAGTGTTGGAGATGTGCGTATTTTAAGGCAAGTTTTTACTACTCCCGAATTTGCAAGCCGACGATTTTTTTATTTAACAAAATGTGTCTATTGTTATTGTTCTCAATAAAACACATTGTATAATTACAATCTTCTTCATATTTCTTTAGGGTATCCTCTTTGTCGTTTTCAGTATTGATATCTTAAGTCATGTTGTATATAAATCTTATGCGCGTGGAGCTAGTGCAACATAGTTGAGCTGTGTTGTTGTTTTTAAAAAGTTGAATGAAGTAGGAACATAAATAGAAGAATCAAATATTAATAACAAAAACACTCGGTGGTCGAGTGGAGACGTGCACCTGCTGGCATGCTGGCAGGCACGGATCGAATCTCAGGTATAGAAGGCATTTTTCTCAAATATAAAAATATCAGGTGTAATTTGGGTTGCATATATGAATTGCAACGAAATGTAAGAGAAATTGAAATACAAGTGAAGGCAATACGAGAAGTAAGAAAAGTAAGTGGAGAAACGAGAACAGAGAAATAGAAGGAGTAGTAAAGAAAATAGGAGAAGACAGAAGGAAGAGGAAAATAGAGAGTAGAGAAGAAGAGGAGGAGATAGAAGAAAGAGAACAGGAGTGGATGAGATTTTTAAATTTTTTGGCACGTGTCGTTATAAGACAGTCATAGGTCGATCGACCAGAGCGCCGGAGGCCCACTGCTTCGATGCCTCCATTGCTCCCGGCCCAACCTACAGCTACGATGTCTCTGTGCTTCATCCCCGAAATTATCAGGCATATCAACAATTTTTATGGTGGGGGATCACCCCCAGAGAGAGGGAACTCCTTATAAGGACAATCCTTATAAGGTCTTGTAAAAATATTTCTAAGTTTTAAGTCGCCTCAAGAGAGGTATTCTTACAACTTCTGACCTGTAGCTGAAATGAAAGAAGGAGCACACAAATCACACAGGATACCTTAACAATTTTTATAGTGGGGATCATCCCCTGAGAGAGGGAACTCTCTTAGAGACCTGTTCCTGAAATGATAGAAGAGGTACACAAATCAAAGAAGTCAATATATTTTACTATTTCTTTATTAACAATAGAATACAAGTTTATATTTTACAAGTCAACAAAATACTCGTACATGTCGCCATATTGAAACAGGACTTACGACCTGCATTGCCGCGCATATGCAAGCAAGTTACACTTCGCAAAGTACTCCCGGGATAAAGAAATTAGGAAATTGACCATTTTCTACGTGAGTGAAAATGGGAACAAATATACAGGGTGTTACATATAGAAAATTCAAAGTGCAAAGAAGAAAAACCTAAAACAACAACTAAAGCTAAATTTTCACGGACAACAAGAAAAACAAATATACAAGGTGCTACAAAAAAGAAATTACTACATCACAAAAAGAAAATCAATAGTACAAAACAGAAAATAGTCGGGAATACAAATTTAAAAAACTTATAATAGGAAATCAAGAAAAACAAACATACAGGGTGATACAAACAGGAAATTCCTAAATTTAAAAATAAAATACAAAGTTTAAGTAGAAAACGACCCAGAAACGACAAATTTAGTCAGTTTTACACTAGAACGCAAGGTAAAGTAGAACATAGGGTGATACAAGAAGAAAATTGCTACATTTTACAGATATATTACAAATATTTTACAAATATATTACTCTCAATAATTAATTTCCAAGCTACGAAAATAATAATAATAAGGGTTTGTAGGTTATGTTGTCGCTTGTGTTGTCAACCATGTTTGTTTCAGATGCGCGCGCACCACTTCGGCGATCGCTGCGCTTGTCTACGCCGCACGTTGATTGAAATCATTTTTTATATTTTTGTATGTATTATTTTAAGAAATAACTTGTTTACTTATGTAGCATAATTGTGTATGGAATAAAGAGATGATTTATTTAAATTGTGAGATTGAAACGTTGAAATATATTCATAACTTGAATTCAATGTAATCCGGTGTGCGGTGTGAAGTTTACGGCGAAAAAGTTAAATTGATTTCGCAGCGGATTTGCCTAAGTCCAACCGAAGTTGTTTTGAGGTTAGAAACTCGTGTGGGCGAGCGAGTTTTGATTGGCCGGCCATTCATCCCCAATCAGTGGGGTGTTAGATGTGCGGTAAACTTACCCGCTGCTGCCTTCATCCGTGAATCCCCTCGCGCAAATTGAGTTCAGAATGTTTCCAAGACACTTTTTAACGAGATACATTGTATTTGAATAATTTTATCAATTTCATCAATTGAACACACTGTATTTTCATGTTGCGTAGAAATATATCACTGCGAGAATGCGAGGTCGTTAATTTACGCAAATGAAATGAAAACACGAAAATGATACGTTCCTCATAACAACCGCACAATTACGCCGCGAGGAAACAACTGCTATTAGTCACAATCAAATTTCTACCTCCGCAAACCGACATAAATTGAATACTGAGCGGACTGCGGGATGCAAACATGCACGCACATGGACACAGGTGTGACCAAACTGATAACGCACGCAAACAAACAAGTTACTTAGCACGGTGCGCATGGATTTTAAGACAAAAGTGCATTGCAGTGACATCTAGCGGAGAATTAACGAAATGTATTTATGAATGTACTAGTTTTAACTGGTGGCTTCGCTCGCGAATATCTAATTCAGCTTAAATTACAAAAAAACAGTAGAGGGCGTTAGGGTAATATATCAGGAATACTTGGATTAATTTCTGAGCTATTAAAATGGCGGAAAAAACCATAAAACTTGATTTTTAGTTTAAAATTGTAAATTTCACAAATATTTCTTCAAATTTCTACAATTTTTTGTTTTAAAATCTATTTCTAAGGTATTACAAGCTGCAAATTGAGTTGCATAACTTAAAATTATAGACTACTAGCTTTAACCCGCGGCTTCGCTCGCGAATATCTAAAATAATGAAGTTGCTTCCGTACGCGTCTGTAGTCACAAAAGAAGTAACAATGAAGTAGAATGGCGGGAAGTTTAAAATGGCTGAAAGTATAGTCTATGGAAGTATAGTGTACAGTCTCCATAGTGTAGTCAATTGGATTTGATGTTGACGTAGCTGTCGGTAATACAGTGTGATAATACAGTGTGATGGTACTATAGTACTTAGGTTTGAGCTTCATTGCTGGAATGCTAGATGGCGTTAAAGTAGTCAAATAGCCAGATGCAGAGGTATTATTGGCTAAACATTTTCTTTATTTTATTTAAAAAATAATGATTTTTATTAAATAAAAAGTAGCCTATAACCATTCGGGGACCACTAAGAATATGTGTACAAATTTTCATGATGATCGGTTAAGTAGTTTTTGCGTGAAAGTGTAACAAACATCAGGACTTTCGCATTTATAATATTAGTAGGGATACGTTGTTGAGCTGATGTCGTATGTTTTGGTTTTTTTAATTTAATCTAAACAAAAAATGCATAGTTTTGAAATTTCGTAATTGTTATTAACAAATATAGGAAATTCTTGTGATATCTTTATCAATGACATTCCTAATGTTATTATCACTTAAATAATTTATGTTAAAATGCCAGAAAATGTGAAATCAAGAAGAATTTCCACGTGTTTTCCAAAAATTTCACTTTTTAACGCACTTCAACTCTCAATAAATTAAATCCATTTCTTTTCTGGCTTCGTGGCGGCTCGTTTTTCATCTCGACGTGCCGTTGAAATGTTGGAATCGACATGTGCTGTAAAACAACGCCGGGAACAAAAGAAAACAAGCGTTAATGATTCTTCACACAGTTTGAGTGTGTGTGTATGTTGGGAGGCCTGCATCTCGCCGGAAACAAATGGCCGACATAGATCATTTAAAATTGTGGAATTTTGCTTTGCAATTTGCGAATGTTTCGAGTTTAACTGTTAAGTTATAAACAATTGCTATAAAAAAACAGTAGTAATAAATAAAAACGAAATTCCAAGCGTGGTTTTAAGGTTTTAATTATGATTCGCCGGTATAAAAGCAGGAACAGTTGAGTTTCAAGAAGTATAATCAACAAAATGGCGTCTAGAGAAGTTTTTAAGTTATTGGTGATAGTTTCGTTGTTTTGGAGTGTTTATTCTGAAGTAAATAAGTTTGAATACAAAAATAATTCAAATATTAACAATAATTATATTTTCAACAGGAGATAGACAACCCTTTTGGGTTTTATCGTCATGAAGCACCAAGAATCTCCTCAACAAAATCCGCCCTGGCAACTTGGGACGTTTATTACGCTCAAGTCGACAATTTTAACGACAAAGACAATTCTACTTTTGCTATGGTAACCCAACACAAAACCTAACCTATAAAATAACCTATTTTTATTTCAAACAGCGTTACAACTACAATTTACAATTTTGTCAACAAGATGGCTGCCCACTCGTAATCTACGTCGGTGGTGATTGGGAAATTAACGAAAGATGGCTAAAACCAGGTCAAATCTACGAAATTGGACGAGAAAATGGCGCCGCCATGTTTTACACCGAGCATCGTTTCTATGGCAAATCTATGCCCACAACTGACTTCACCTCCGAGAGTCTTCGTTTGTTACACAGTAGCCAAGCACAAGAAGACCTCAAAGGGTTTATCATGATGTTAAAAGAGTTTGATCGCTATAAGAATAGTAAGGTTATGTTGTTTGGTTGTTCATACGCCGGTGGGTTAGTCGCATGGATGAAACAAAAGTATCCCGAGTTGATTCAAGTCACTTATTCTACCGGTGGACCATTCTATGCTAAAGACAGTATGTTTGGTAAGAAATCAAGAGTAAATTTCAAGTTTAAACAAAGATAACACCCTGTATATCCTTTAGAATACCTTCAGGTGATTTCACGTATGATTTACAACCTTCCAAACATCGGAAAACAATGTTTCGATGGTTTATTTTATGGAATTCAACAATTGGAGCAGGAGTATGACAGTGGGCCAGAGGGCGCTGCGTCTGTCATAAAGAAATTAGGGTTAGATACCAGTTTAACCTCAATTAACAAATTTTTTGAATTTTTGTTTCTTTTATGATGTTTAGGATCTGCCCACCTTATGACCCTAAAGGAGATTATGACAAAGCAGCAGTTTTTCAAACATTCGGTGTAGAATTCGGTAACATGGGCCAGGAAGATTCCAAAAAACTCCCCTACGCATGCAATAGGTTAATAAACGCTAAAGGTGAGACCTACGCTGAGAAATTGGTAAATTACCGTACAAATGGTACAACACCCATTTTTTGCTACTACACTGATTATGATTCAACTGCTGCGCGTTACGCTGACACGTCTTTGAATGGTAAACAACGTCCATGGTTTTACCAACAGTGTAATGAATTCGGATGGTTCCAAACCACCGAAACCAATACACAAGTGTTTGGTAAAAGTGTCCTTCCCTTTTTCTATCACCAATTATGTAGAGATGCTTATGGAGCAGCGTATGTTATCCAAAAACACCCTGTATAAAAATGGTAAATGAGGTTATGTTGTTCTAGCTTCACCGATGAGAATATTTTATTAGCACAAGAGAATACTAATAAGGTTTATGGTGGTTATACGCCAAATGTAAGAAAATCCGTGTTTGTTTATGGTTCCATTGATCCATGGGCCCCTATGGGTGTCCAGGAGTCTTTGAATGATGAAGCGTTAACGTTTTACATTCAAGGTAACTAATTTTATCATTTTTTCTAAAGTAAACATTTAAAATTGGTATTTTGAATAGGTGGGGGCCATTGTTGGGATATGTTCCCCCAAAGTATCGAAGACAGTAAATCAATGACATATGCCAAGGTCAACTCACGTGCCTGGGTGAAAAAATGGTTGTCAGAGGATTAAAATGAATCTATTTAATACAAATGAAGTAAAATAATTATTCCAACGTAATTTGTTTGTGAAATATTCAAATTTTTGTAGTTACCAATGTTAATCTCCATAAGGAGGCGGAGCTTACGATTGCCATCATACATAGATTACTATTTGAAAATTACTTGCATAAATTTTCTTTATCGCGGCATGTTTCATTCTTATTATTCGACATTGGTATCTAACATATTTTAAAATAATAATCAACTTGTTTTGCCAACAATTTGTTCATTTTTTTATTGTTTATTTTAAATTAATTGCATGTTTTTCTATAATTAATTCTTTATTTCCATTGTTTTCTTCAATCTGTATTATTTTATTACCAAGCGCAAACACGTAGAAATAAATATTATAAAGTTATAACCATGAATGAAGTATTGAACAACGAAGACAAATTTGTTAATTACTTCAAGTATGTTGTCATGACATGTTATGCCACACGTCGGTACTGATAACTGATAACACCTGAATTTGATTTGTTGCAACTAGTATAAATAGTTTACTCAAATATGGATTTGAACAGTTTTTGGTTTACTGTTAACCAAAATGAAGTTGTACGCCATTTTGTTACTGGTGCCATTTTGTTTTGGTGGCATCATCCACCCAGAAGATAGTTCTCAAGATGAAACTTCTCCTGAATACGACAACGGCGCATTTGAAGATGAAAATTCTTCTGAATATGAAAATCGCACTGTAAAACATAACCTCAATTTTTTTTATTGTATTTTTAAACACTTTGTATGTTTATAGATGATTCCCGTGAGAGGAATAATAGATAGGCCACCAACATTTCCCGTAATGCGTAATTCTCATTAACAATGGTCGTATGTAGTCTCAAAAATTGATAATTTTAACGCAAACTCCGGTACATACAGACAGGTATAAACAAATAGCAGATAAAACACATTGTATGTATTTATAACCTCAAATATTTAATTTTACAGAGATTTATCTACAACACCCAATTTGCTAAACCCAATGGTCCTATTTTTGTTTACGTTGGTGGTGAATGGACAATCGGTGTAGGTTCGCTTAGTTCCGGACAACTTTTCGAGATGGCGCGTGAGAACGGCGGCGCCATGTTTTACCTAGAACACAGATTCTACGGAGAAAGTATTCCCACAAGGTAAAAACACATTTAAAACCTTTTTTCATTAATAACTTAATTATTTTCTATTATTATAGTGACTTAAGTACAAGAAACCTTGCAACACATTCAAGTCGTCAAGCAATCGAAGACATCCGCCAGTTTTACAATTGGTTACGCACTTCTGAATACTACAGTAAAAGTAAACTTGTCTTGATGGGTTGTTCATACTCTGCATCACTTTCAATGTTTACCAAAACAGATTTACCCGAATATGGTCACCGCAGTGTATGCAACCAGTGGACCATTACTTTCTACTTTGATATGTATCGTAAGTTAAATCCAAAAAAATTGAATATGATTGTACACAGGTGGTCTTTGATATAGAGTATACATGGAAGTAGTGACATCTTTACATTCGAAGAGTCAACCCACAATGTAACAATATCATCAAGGCGCAATCCAAACCATGGAAAGCATGTACCCAACGGACAAATAAAAAAGACTGTCTACATCAATTATTCTCGTAGGTTTGAGGTTACATTTTTATTAATTTATCCCCCAAAACACTTTGTATATCCAGGTGTGCTGATCATCTCAAGTCCAGGAACCTTTGACCGCGCCAAGTGTTCTTCTTCCTGCGTTTCATTTTACCATTTCGCCAATATGTATTCAAAGTGCATCCAGCACCGTGACCTCTCACGTCAACGCTTTGACCAACGCTCAAGGAACCACCAATCTGATAAATTGTTTCTACTTTGCTGTAAATTGTGCTACCCAATGTACTTCCGAGTGTTTGCCCATCACCCACCTGGGTTCCTCAACACCACAACAAGGACCAATCTTCAGGTCATGGTTATGGCAACAGTGTAATGAATTCGGTTGGTTTTATCACCACTGCTGGTAATAACCAAGTTTTATGGATCATCTGTACGTCCATCACGCACTACGCCCCTCTGTCGGCAGTCTTTGGTAACGCAGGACAATCAGATGCGCAGTTGAATGCAAAAAAGTACAGCAACAAACTCCAACTACAATGCTAATCCCGGTAAGGGGCGGGCTTAAGAATATCGCATTCCTGTATAGTTCGGATGATCCATGGGCACCTATGGGGGTATAATATACGCTTCCAACTCACAGACGAGAATGTTGCGTATTGAAGTTATGGTGGACATTGTGCTGATGTCTAGTCTATCTGCTAGTGATTCAGCAAGCATGCGCAATGCTAAGAATACAGCCAGGCATTGATTAAACAATGGTTGCAATAATTACAGAATAAACATGGTTTTGATTTATATTTTGTTTACTTTATTTACATAGATGCCTTACTGTTCTGGCCCAACCTACAGCTACGATGTTCTGCGCTTTCATCCCCTGAAATTCATCATCAGGTATATCATCAACAATTTTATGGTGGGGATCACCCCCAGAGAGAGGGAACTCCTTTATAAGGACAATCCTTATAAGGTCTTGTAAAAATATTTCTGAGTTTTTGGGTCGCCTCAAGAGAGGTGACACTTAAAAATATTCTCAACTTCTGACCTGTAGCCGAAAATGAAAGAAGGAGCACACCATAATAGGATACCTTAACAATTTTATAGTGGGATCATGCACTGAGAGAGGGAACTCTTAGAGACCTGTTCCGAAATGATAGAAGAGGTACAAACTGTTAAGCCAATATATTTTACTATTTCCTTTACCAATAGAATACAAGCTTTATATTTCATGTCAACAAAAATACTCGTACAGGTCGCCATATTGAAACAGGACTTACGACCCTACGTGAGGAAAAATGGAACAAAATATACAGGGTGTTATATATAGAAAATTCAAAGTAAAAGAAGAAAACCTAAAACAACAACTAAAGCTTTCAAATTTCACGGACAAAGTAAGAAAACAAATATAAGAAGGTGCTACAAAAAAAGAAATTACTACATCACAAAAAGAAATCAATAGGTACAAAAAGAAAATAGTCGGGGAATACAAATTTAAAAACTTATATTAGGAAACGCTAAGTCAAACATAAGTATACAAACAGTACCCAAATTTAAAAAATAAAAGTTTAAGAAACGACCCAGAAACGACATAAATTGAATAAGCCATACACTAGAACGCAAGGTAAAGTAGAACATAGGGTGATAAGAAGAAATTGCTACATTTTACAGATATATTACAAATATATATAAATATATTACTCTCAATAATTAATTTCCAAGTACAAAATACGTTAAAAATATTGCAGATTATGTAATAAAAATAAAAGTAAAGTACAGTGCTCACGTTATTAAACCTATATCGTATTACATGACCATACTCTGCAGAGATCCAAGTCAAACTACTTGGCACGTGCATTCATTTTTTTACATTCAATTTTAGATAAATATGAAAGCTACAATGTAATAACGTTGGCTAAACTTAAATAGCGTAATCAGGTAATCATATAGAAAGTACTGAAACAAAAACAACAAGTGTGTGAGAACTCGTAATCTACGTCGGTGGTGATTGGGAAATTAACGAAGGATGGCTAGAACAAGGTCAAATCTACGAAATTGGACGAGAAAATGGCGCCGCCATGTTTTACACCGAGCATCGTTTCTATGGCAAATCTATGCCCACAACTGACTTCACCTCCGAGAGTCTTCGTTTGTTACACAGTAGCCAAGCACAAGAAGACCTCAAAGGGTTTATCATGATGTTAAAAGAGTTTGATCGCTATAAGAATAGTAAGGTTATGTTGTTTGGTTGTTCATACACCGGTGGGTTAGTCGCATGGATGAAACAAAAGTATCCCGAGTTGATTCAAGTCACTTATTCTACCAGTGGACCATTCTATGCTAAAGACAGTATGTTTGGTAAGAAATCAAGAGTAAATTTCAAGTTTAAACAAAGATAACACCCTGTATATCCTTTAGAATACCTTCAGGTGATTTCACGTATGATTTACAACCTTCCAAACATCGGAAAACAATGTTTCGATGGTTTATTTTATGGAATTCAACAATTGGAGCAGGAGTATGACAGTGGGCCAGAGGGCGCTGCGTCTGTCATCAAAAAATTAGGGTTAGATACCAGTTTAACCTCAATTAACAAATTTTTTGAATTTTTGTTTCTTTTATGATGTTTAGGATCTGCCCACCTTATGACCCTAAAGGAGATTATGACAAAGCAGCAGTTTTTCAAAGATTCGGTGTAGAATTCGGTAACATGGGCTATGAAGATCCCGAAAAACCCTCTAACGCATGCAATAGGTTAATAAACGCTACAGGTGAAACCTACGCTGAGAAATTGGTAAATTACCGTACAAATGGTACAACACCCATTTTTTGCTACCGCACTGTTGATTATGATTCAACTGCTGCGCTTTACGCTGACACGTCTTTGAATGGTAAAGAACGTCCATGGTTTTACCAACAGTGTAATGAATTCGGATGGTTCGTAACCACCGAAACCAATACACAAGTATTTGGTAAAAGTGTTCTTCCCTTTTTCTATCACCAATTGTGTAGAGATGCTTATGGAGCGACGTAAGATATCTGAAAACACCCTGTATAAAAATGGTAACTGAGATTATGTATGTTCCAGGTTCACCGATGAGAATATTTTATTAGCACAGGAGAATACTAATAAGGTTTATGGTGGTTATACGCCAAATGTAAGAAAATCTGTGTTTGTTTATGGTTCCAGTGATCCATGGGCCCCTATGGGTGTCCAGGAGTCTTTGAATGATGAAGCGTTAACGTTTTACATTCAAGGTAACTAATTTTATCATTTTTTCTAAAGTAAACATTTAAAATTGGTATTTTGAATAGGTGGGGGCCATTGTTGGGATATGTTCCCCCAAAGTGACGAAGACAGTGAATCAATGACATATGCCAAGGTCAACTCACGTGCCTGGGTGAAAAAATGGTTGTCAGAGGATTAAAATGAATCTATTTAATACAAATGAAGTAAAATAATTATTCCAACGTAATTTGTTTGTGAAATATTCAAATTTTTGTAGTTACCAATGTTAATCTCCATAAGGAGGCGGAGCTTACGATTGCCGTCATACATAGATTACCATTTGAAAATTACTTGCATAAATTTTCTTTATCGCGGCATGTTTCATTCTTATTATTCGACATTGGTATCTAACATATTTTAAAATAATAATCAACTTGTTTTGCCAACAATTTGTTCATTTTTTTATTGTTTATTTTAAATTAATTGCATGTTTTTCTATAATTAATTCTTTATTTCCATTGTTTTCTTCAATCTGTATTATTTTATTGCCAAGCGCAAACACGTAGAAATAAATATTATAAAGTTATAACCATGAATGAAGTATTGAACAACGAAGACAAATTTGTTAATTACTTCAAGTATGTTGTCATGACATGTTATGCCACACGTCGGTACTGATAACTGATAACACCTGAATTTGATTTGTTGCAACTAGTATAAATAGTTTACTCAAATATGGATTTGAACAGTTTTTGGTTTACTGTTAACCAAAATGAAGTTGTACGCCATTTTGTTACTGGTGCCATTTTGTTTTGGTGGCATCATCCACCCAGAAGATAGTTCTCAAGATGAAACTTCTCCTGAATACGACAACGGCGCATTTGAAGATGAAAATTCTTCTGAATATGAAAACCGCACTGTAAAACATAACCTCAATTTTTTAATTGATTTTATAAACACTTTGTATGTTTATAGATGATTCCCGTAAGGGGAATTATTGATAGGCCACCAACATTTCCCGTCATGCGTAATTCTCATTAACAATGGTCGTATGTGGTCGCAAAAATCGATAATTTTAACGCAAACTCCGGTACATACAGACAGGTATAAACAATAGCAGATAAAACACATTGTATGTATTTATAACCTCAAATATTTAATTTTACAGAGGTTTATCTACAACACACAATTTGCTAAACCTAATGGTCCTATTTTCGTTTACGTTGGTGGTGAATGGACAATCGGTGTTGGTTCCCTTAGTTCCGGACAACTTTTTGAGATGGCGCGTGAGAATGGCGGCGCCATGTTCTACCTAGAACACAGATTCTACGGAGAAAGTATTCCCACAAGGTAAAAACACATAAAAAACTTTTTTTTATTACTAATTAATTATTATCTATTATTACAGTGACTTAAGTACAAGAAACCTCGCAACACATTCAAGTCGTCAAGCAATTGAAGACATCCGCCAGTTTTACAATTGGTTACGCACTTCTGAATTCTACAGTAAAAGCAAACTTGTCTTGATGGGTTGCTCATACTCTGCATCACTTTCAATGTTTACCAAACAGATTTACCCGAATATGGTCACCGCAGTGTATGCAACCAGTGGACCATTACTTTCTACTTTTGATATGTATCGTAAGTTAAACTTCTAACCTTAAAAAAATTGAATATGATTGTAATATTGGTGGTATACCTTGATATAGAGTACATGGAAGTAGTGACATCTTACATTCGAAGAGTCAACCCACAATGTAACAATATCATCATGGGCGCAATCCAAACCATGGAAAGCATGTACCTCAACGGACAAAAAGACCGTCTACATCAATTATTCTCGTAGGTTTGAGGTTATATTTTATTAATTTATCCTTAAAACACTTTGTATATCCAGGGTGTGCCGATCATCTCAAGTCCAGGAACCTTTGGACCGCGCCGCGTTCTTCCTGCGTTTCATTTACCATTTCGCCAATATGGTCCAAAGTGCATCCAGCACCGTGACCTCTCAATGTCAACGCTTGACCAACGCTCAAGGAACCACCAATCTGGATAAATTCGTTTCCTACTTTGCTGTACCAGCTAACCAATGTACTTCCGGAGTGTTTGCCCATCACCCACCTGGGTTCCTCAACACCAACAAGGACCAATCTTCTAGGTCATGGTTATGGCAACAGTGTAATGAATTCGGTTGGTTTATCACCACTGCTGGTAATAACCAAGTTTATGGATCATCTGTACGTCCATCAATGCACTACGCCCTCTGTCGGGCAGTCTTTGGTAACGCAGGACAATCAGATGCGCAGTTGAATGCAAAAGTAACAGCAACAAACTCCAACTACAATGTTAATCCCGGTAAGGGGGCGGGGCTTAAGAATATCGCATTCTTGTATAGTTCGGATGATCCATGGGCACCTATGGGGTATAATATGTTGCCTAACTCACAGACGAGAATGCTGCGTATTGAAGGTGGTGGACATTGTGCTGACATGTCTAGTTCATCTGCTAGTGATTCAGCAAGCATGCGCAATGCTAAGAATACAGCCAGGGCATTGATTAAACAATGGTTGCAATAATTACAGAATAAACATGGTTTTGATTTATATTTTGTTTACTTTATTTACATAGACTAAGATTATCATATCGTTGTCGGTTTATCCGTGAGATGGCGTGAGTAGTCATGTCATTCAATAATAATGAGCATATGGGTAAGCAGAGGTGTAACCATGGGAGTAAGCGAATGGAGTGTAGACTCCACGCTTAGCCAAGTAATGGTGTCCATAAGCTCCGTAGTGGTAAGCTGGGGCGGTGTAGGCGAAGGGGGCAGCAGCATAAACACCACGCTTAGCCAAGTAATGATGACCGTAAGCTCCATAGGCGTAAGCTGGAGTGGCGTAGGCGTAGACTCCACGTTTAGCGACGTAGTGACCATAAGCGTGGCTGGTACGGGCAAGGGCTTCACCATGGGCAGCAAAGTGAGCGGTCTTGGCGGCGGCAACTTCTGGGGTCTCAAGTGGGACACCGCTGGCGGTCACAGCTGGGACTCCAAGAGTGGTTGGGTAAGCCTGGGAACCAAAGTGAGCTGGGGCAATTGGGGCGGCTACTGGGGCAGCAAAAGCAGGGGCGGCAATTGGGGCAATTGGAGCGACTTGATGGTAGTCACCATTGCGGGCATGAGCTTCGACTTTGTGAGCCAAATGGGCGGCGGTGGCTTGTTGGACGGCTGGGGTATCAACTGGGACACCGTTGGCGCCGATTACTGGCAAGTGTTGGGGGCCTGGGTACACGGGGGAGACCAGGTGACCAGCGGAGGCGGCGGCCAAAGCGCAAGCGAAGACAATCTATAAATTACCAAACATTTTGATAAAATTTTACTATTTTTAATGTTTTTGGTTATTCTTACCAAGAATTTCATTTTGGTAGTTGGTTATTGTTGTTGTACTGCACCACAGTGATGAAGTGTGTCTTTCTCGATGCAATCTGCACCTTTTATACTTGAACAACGCCCATTTAAATTTAAATTTTTAAACATCAAAAAATGCATCCGAATATTTTACATTGTCAAGGTTATCAAGAGTTTCGATTAAATTATGCGCTGTGAGGTGAAGAAATGGATCGCTTAGCAACATCTAAAGTTGTTTGGAATAAATTATTGCTACGAATAGGAAGCAAATGTTAATTTGAAATTTATTGCTACTTTTTTTTATTAAATTCTACTTTTGTTTTTCAAAAGAGACAAACAATGAATTTTTGTTTATAACTTTTGTAATTGTTTATAAAATTTAACCAAATTAACGCTAAATTGTACTTAGATAAATTATCTGTTGATTTATATATAAAAATAAGAAAATTTATTAATATTTTTGAGGGATATTTAAGTTTTAACACAAAATAATTAACTTTATTTTCACTTTTTTGCATTTTGTTCATATTTTTGTTTATAACTTTTGTAATTGTTTATAAAATTTGACCAAATTAACGCTAAGTTATACTTATATAAATTATCTATTCATATATTTATAAAAATAATAAAATTTATTAATATTTTTGTGAGATATTTAAGTTTTAACACAAAATAATTTACTTTAATTTCACTTTTTTGCATTTTGTTCATATTTTTGTTTATAACTTTTGTAATTGCTTATAAAATTTGACCAAATTAACGCTAAGTTATACTTAAATAAATTATCTATTGATTTATTTATTAAAATAATAAAATTTATTAATATTTTTGTGAGATATTTAAGTTTTAATAAAAAATTATTAACTTTAATTTAACTTTTTTGCTTTTTGTTCATATTTTTATTTAAAACTTTTGTAATTATTTATAAAATTAAATCAAATTGGAACCAAATTATTTCTAATTAAATTCTCTATCGATTTGTATATAAAAACATTAAAATTTTAATGTATTTCCCCCATTAAATTCAATTTTATACTCAATATAATTAAATTAAACCCCAAATAGTTCACGAATTTCCCTCAAGGTGTCGCTAGCATGACAACTCCACAGAATTTTCCACTTCTATCGATTCCCTAGCTTTTAGCTCTTCTTATTCCGCGTCAGAGCATTTTGCCACATTACATTATCGTACAATAGCTCTCAATTGTTTAAAGTAACAATCCGCTTGCAACCACGTAATCGTCAAGCAATTAGAGCAATTAATTAACATACTAAGACTTTTCCACTCGTCTCACTAACGAACCGACAAACAAACAACAAATAACAATAAATGAATAACGCGTGTTTTGTATTGCGCGTAATTAAAAATTAGTGTTGTTTGTTCACCTGAAGGTTATGTTTATTATCATAGTATAATTATACAAAATATACAGGGTGTTTCAAATTTATTACCAACTTTAAACACATTGTATGCAAGCGTGTGGTAAATCAGTTTCACGTCTCGAATGTTATCGCTTTACGAAAAAGCGCGCTTAACTCACTTGAACTCCAAGGGGGCGGCGTGGGTATTGTGCACTGCCGCCGCCAGGTAATGCGATTGACATTGTGTGAGCATGCACAACCGGTGCGCACACGGAACTAAATTGCTGCATCTTATAATGCCTGGAAGGCGACGGAAAAAAATGTCTTTTGTGCAACAGGAGAAAAACGTTATTCTTCCTTATCTTAAACCTTAAAAAAAATAAAAATGACCAAATGAAAACACCTGAGATGGCATGTAAATATTAATCAACCGGAAATCGCCGGAAAAATGTCCGAAATTTTCACGCAGAGTGAAATTGTTTCGAGTTGTGTACATATGTCCGTTTGGTTCGATGATGGTACGAGCGCGGAGTGCGTCACGAGCAATTTTGAGTACACCACCGCCCCCCGCCGGCCTGCCGCCCCACAGCCGTGCGCACACTCCTGCCCCAGTGCTACCGGTTGGCAGCATCATCATCTCTCGCAGGCGGCGCGGCGGTGGGAAAAAGCCGCGCTCGCTGACGTCATTCGGATAACGCGCCGCGAGCGCGTATCGACGTCATTGGGGTAGGTCGTTGTCATCCTTCTTCCTGCAGCCAAGCAGCCCGAGAAGAAAATACTCCAAAAGTGTCCTTGAGCTCATTTTTACACAATCATCATTAAACTTTCCACACTACACACATTATACCAATTTTTTTAAAAACCGGAAAACCGGAAATGTTTATTGTAATTAAAAATCACGTGTGCAGTAGTTGGAAACACTAAATGCCAGCTGGATTTCGTAACCCGAGCTGAAAACAAAAGTGTTTTGTTCACCGGAAAAGCGGAAAAGGGGAATTTCGGCGTTGATGGAACGGCCATTGTTTCGGCGGCGTACGCATTCTTAGAAATTGATGGTCGGTCATCGGAGGCGAATGATAAATGGACGCGCTCCATTTAATCCTACCGACAACCGCCCCCAACTGCCCGGCCACCACATCAATGTACTCAGTCATCCTGTAACTCCATCTCGTTCATTATTCACGCGCCACATGCACAAACGAATTCGATGCGCGCAGAGGAAATTTAAGCGCTATTAAATCATAGATGGCGCTGCGCGCAAATAAGATTTTAATTCAATCACTACGGTGCTTAGAAAAATCCATTAAATATGAAAAACTCATTAACAGGTTGATGAACAGGAGGTGCCGAAGGTGGCGGCGAAGAAGTGAAGAGTTAATGGGAAAACCGTTGTTGCGACAGCGTCCGGTCGGATTAATTGCGTGTAATCATATTTGCCTGCGCCATGGGACAAAGCTGCAAGTTAATGTCACTAGGTGTCACTACTTGCCACCAGATGTCATCAAGTATTTAAACTGATTTAGATACAGTACGTGTGTGTGTTGATATTTTTGGAAAAAATATTACTCGGTTGTAGAATGTAGTAGCACTCTCGATGGGAGTGCGTAGTACTCCGCATGCCCGGGAGCGGTGGGAGTGGGAGGAGGCGCGCTTCTGCTTCTGCGAGGGGGGCGGCGGCGGCGTTGGGAACGCGCTTGTTCTCCGGCAGTGCGCGGTAGAGCAACGTGGCGGTAACATGTCCTGCGAGCTTCGTGCAGCCGCCCGCAGCAGCAGCGCCGCCGAGGACGCCGACGACGACGCCGCGGCCGCCGCCACAGCCTCCCCCAACCAACATCTCGCGTCCGCGCCGCGAAGACTATATTCTAAACTAGCTAGTGTCGACACGTGAACACTCAACTTGCAAGCACAACCAACAAAAAAATAAAACCGGAAAATAAAAACCACAGACACCCGGATAACCGGAAAGTTATTTAAATTTTTTAAGAGTGCGTTAAGGTGTCGCGTCGAGATGATGTGAGTGCGCGTCACGTGTCTGTGAACGTCAAACTTTTGTTTATGTTTAACTAAAAAATAATTTTCCGGTTTGTTAAAAATTAAAAATTATAAAAAAATAATTAAGTTGATAATAAATTATTCGCCGACACCGATATATATGATAAATATATGTTTATGTACAAACCGGCAAAGATTCGGAGCAAACGGGTTTCTAAACACACACTGTATATAATAATCGCATAGTTTAAGTTTTAAATGTTTTAAAAAACAACAAAGTGTCAAGTGGGACCAAAAAATTTTAACCAAAAATTCATTCTGAACATAGTGTATAATACAACAGTTGCGGTTATGTTTTGACAGCTGTCAAAAGTTTACATTTTAACCTTAAACACCCAACCGAAAGATGGCGTTGATGAATATGACACCACGAGCGGCGCTGGCGATGGAGGACATTTTACTCTCGATCTTCGACAATGGCACAGCAAATTCCAGCCTGGCACCGAACGAAACATTCGTCCAGCATTATCCCAGTGGATACACACTTCCACAAATTGTATTAGCATCAATTGCGATTACTATCCTGATGATTGTCGTCGTGGTAGGCAACATGTTAGTCATCATTGCTATAACCACAGAAAAAGCGTTGAAAAACATACAGAATTGGTTCATAGCTTCGCTAGCGGTTGCAGATTTCTTCCTCGGGTTGATAATCATGCCGTTTTCACTAGCAAATGAACTAATGGGTTACTGGATATTTGGCTCGTGGTGGTGTGACATCCATTCCGCCATGGATGTCCTCCTCAGCACGGCGAGTATCATGAATCTTTGTTTGATTTCGCTCGATCGCTATTGGAGCATCACGCAAGCAGTGGAGTATCTTAAGAAGCGCACCCCCGTGCGGGCGGTAGTGATGATAACTGCAGTTTGGTTGCTGTCTGCGCTAATCTGCATACCGCCGCTGTTGGGATGGAAAGTGGCGCAACAACCGGACGATCAGTATCCTAAGTGTCAGGTTAGTATTGGAATTGTCGCTTTTGGAAAATCAAATATTTATAGATAGCTAAATCTTGTCGCCACGATGGGAAAATAAATATTTTCATTTCCGAGCGAGGTTCGACGAAGTTTTAGTTAAACGTTCGCCGGGCGCGTGTTTCTAGTTAAAGAGTTTTGATGGCAAAGCGGCGAATGTGTTTTTCAATTTGCATTCACGAAGCTAAAAATATGGCCCGCCAGCGTAAACAAAAAGCCAAATTTATGATCGAATACTAATCGCCGATGACCTAATTATTTCAGACAGAAAAACACTTAGACATTAGACATTAGTTAGTCTTTTTTTAACTACTCCAGTGCTTCCAAAACGGTTTTATGGGAACTTGTAGTTTAATACCGGTATTTCGGTATACCGGTATTTTTTAAATTATAAAATTTTTATATATTAGATATAAAAATATCGGTATTAAAAAATAAAAATACCGGTTTTTAAAAAAGAAAAAACCGGTAATTCCAAAATACCGGTATTTTGCAAAAGATAAATACTAATTAATCAATTTCTCTAATTACGTGTTTGTCTTTGTCCGTATCCCTTGCAAAATGATGAAATGTAGAAATGTTAGTACTGCCCCCGAGGGGCGGCTAACAAAATGTAGCCGCGTGTGTTTTAGTTTTGGCGCAATTATAATAGTTGGACGCTGGTGGCAAAATGAAAGATAAGCAAACGAACAACAATGAGCGAAATGACGGAATGCGGGCGGCCGAAATTTCGCCAACGGAGGCGGCGGCAGCGGCGGTAGCTGGTTCAAATAGACAACGAGTGAATTTAATTACTCACCTGCCACCACCTCCACCTGCCTGCGTTGTTACAATTACCTTAGATCTGCTCACGCACACAGCTATCCGCAATTGGAATATACAGTGTGTCTGTGTGTGTGTATGGGTGCGTAAATGTGTAGGTTAGGTCTAAGGACTGAGGACTAGTGTAGTGTAACGCCAAACGAGTAGTAACGAACGTGCTCGTCCGACTCGTCTTCTCATTACGCACGTCGACACCAGGAAAACCAGTGACCCTCAAAATTTTAAACAAAAAAATTTATAATTTTAAAAATATAAATAATTATTAAAGTTTTTTGTTGTTATTTTATGTGTTAATGTGTATAATTGTTTATTTTAGTTGAATAAACATTTTGCACGCCACTGGTTTAGAGTAAAAGGGTAGTTTCTGAGTTTGTGCGTCGAAGTTATCGCGTTCGCCTCAGCGTTTAGCGTTATTAGCGTCAGCCGGCAATAAACACACTGGGGGGTGTTGCCACCCCCTTCACCACACGCGTATCGCGCTCCTTCAGGTTGAAACTGCCGAATTTCGCAGTGCAGCCATAAATTTATTAGCCGCACACACAATACCAACACTAATATGGGTTATGTCATCATAAAACCTAGTTTCTGACAGCTGTCAAAACATATAACCTATTTTTACACTTTTTTGACAGCTGTCAGTTAGATATTTTTAATATCGCCGCGCACTGCAAATTTGCTCGCCTCGCGTTTTAATTCTGTTTACATTTGTGTTTACACACAACGGCGGCCATCTTGTCAACACGTCAGAAATTTTGCGCGCGCGCTCGTCTATATATAATCTAATATAATTTTTATTTATTCCCTTTCGTTCATCTCGAGTGCGCAAAGTTTTCCCTGTTTGTTTACGATTTTTTTTTATTGAAGTTTCATCGACTTTAACACCGCCGGCGTTCGCTCGCGAAAAGATAAATAAAAAATAAAAATGCCGAGCAATGTTTATCGTCGATTAAAAGCCGCTTTTAACTTACGACGAGAAGCACATGATTAATAATATTATATACAATGTGTTTTTAGATTTTTTTTTAGAAAAAAAAAATTTTTTTTTAAATAATAAAAATGCACTTAATTCGATTTCGTTGTCTGGTAATCCCATAGGAGAAAAAAATTGGAGGCGGCGGCGGCGGCAGTGGAACAAAAGGAATTCGAAAAGTTTAATTAAAATATCCATTGATTATAATAGCGCGAGGCTGGCGCCCAGTTTGGAGGATAATCGAATGTTCGGCCAAGCAGCTCGTCGCCGCCGCCGCCGCCTCCCATCGGCATTAAACTCGTTAGGCACGCTCCGCTTGGCAATAAAATGTGTGTCGCGTTGTTTAACAATTAAAAACTTTGCGTAATTAAAATGTTCCAACAATTATTTACACTCAAATAACAAAAAAATTCACTTCCAAAAACACTCTGTATATATCCACAAACGCGCAATGAGCAATGTCGGATGTAACGCGTCCGAATGCATTAGAAGAAAATATATTTCAATTAGTTTCCATTAGACCCGATCGTAATCGGCAATCGCGGTAAGTAATCGCGTCTCTGCCGCCTCCAATGGATGCAGCACGACTACACGGTTTTCCGACAACTTCGTAAGCAAATTCGAGGTTGAGCTCTTAAAGCGCAAATCGATTTCGCACATACAAAGTGTTTATTTTTAATTTTTTACATCAAAAAAATTTCTGCAACACCCTGTGTATCCTGTGCAAACAAGTGGGTATGTGCACGTATAGATAACAGCGGTCTGTGAAATATTCGATTCCGGCTCCGGCATATATCTTATGCACTCGTGGAAAAGGTATCGACGGCTTGGAAGGTTATCTTATTTCGCCGCCTCCACTTTCACCGCCGCCAAAGTGTGTGCATATCATCGCTCGCCACTACCACAACCACATCCACACCGCACGCGGAAATTTATGAGTCCCGGATGCCCACGAACGCAATTCGTACCTTGCCGCCCCCGCCGCCGCCATACCTACCGGGAAAGAAACGGAAAAAAAGTCTCGCGTGCGAAATTAAAGCGGATTTTTCACCGCTCGCAGCATATTAGACTTCATCTAGTCTGCCAGGCCAGGCGCAACAGTCTCTCCGCCGCCCCCCAACACAACCGCACACGACAAAGACCGATTGAATCCACTCGTCACGTTGATTTATATTTCCATCGTTTTACATATTCAATTCCGCGTTTATTTTTTCCTTAATTCACGGACACATTGTATATCTGACGTGGGTAAAGCGAAAATGATTGATTTGACTAAAAAAAGTTGATATTGTCGATACTTTTTTTTCAACGAGCAATTTCTTCCCACAGCTGTGGCCCACCACTCTAAACAAGCCGTAAACTAACCTTAAAAACAAAACGCAAGTTTGATATTGGAAAAGTTTGCGTTTTGAGGTTATGAAATTAACCAAAGTCAATCTTAATCAGATGTTATGTTTGGTTAAGTTTGCTGGTAGGTTACGTGTTTGGATACGTACTGACAAAACGTTTATTTAATCGTTGTAAGCAATTACGGGGACGCGCGCGTGTTTTGCCGGAGGCGGCTGCGATAGCCGCCTCCTGCTGAGCGCACAGATGGCAGGAGTTTGGCCGAACATAAATCAATTTTTGTTATGGTCCATAGTGGAACTTTTAGAGTAAACATTTTTATATATACAATATGTTCAATGAGAAACACGTAAATATTTGTTAGATATTTATAAACATTTTTTTCTTGAAACACTTTGTATATACGTGGTGGTATTTTTGTTTAGCTACTTTCTAGACACTTTCGCAACTGTGAGTGCAAACGTGTCATTTCGAATATCGAACACGTGTTTACATTGCACAGCGGTGGCGGCGGCGGCGACGGAGGCGGCGCGACATTAATGCGACGCAGCCGGTCGCGGCGTGAATTAATTTTAGTTTCTTTGTCTGCGCGCGGAAAAGATCAGTCTATTTTCTGATCTGATTCACGACACGCTAAAAATGCACTTAAGTTTAGAAAATCCTAATTATACAAAGTGTTTAAAGACTATTTAAAAATTAAAAATATTTAAAAACTCATGTTGATGTTTTTTTATTTTTATTTTCGCAATATCACATTCCAATACGTTTTGTTTGCGTACTGGGGCGCAGGTAATAAATCAATATGGCCGCCCCCAGCGGACACAGGGGCGCATAATGAAAATTTGCGTATAAATTGGCCCTAGCCGTCGTGCGCGCGCGTGCATACATGTTTAATATTTGCATGCGTTTCAAAATTTCGCTTTTACCACCCCCACATGTACACGTACGGCCACCCCCTAAAAGGACACCACCTCACACTACTTTCCTATCTCTGCGGAATGTCCGATTCTCCTGTGGGAGGCGCAGCCAGGCGCGTTATTTGCATTGTGCACTATTTCAACCGAGATTCGTATCAAGGGGGCGGCGGTTAGGTTGACAACACAAATGTATCACAACAATATACCCAAATCGAATAATTTCCGCCTTGGTTAAAATAAAACAATATTTTTTAACAATAAATATCAATATCATACATTTTATCATACACAGTGTTTTTTACATATTTTGTGTTTCATTTGAGTAAAAAATGTGTGTGTCAATGATTAACTCCATTGTGAGATAAGTTGATGAAAGGATATTAAGCTAGGAGAGCTTTCAGTGAGAGAGTGGCCGCCATTGTTTCCTGGTTTTGATCCCGTTGTTTTGTGTGCTCCTTTATTAAACGGCTAAACACTAAACGCCCAACACTAAATAACTTGATAGCCGACGCGCTCATTATTTAAATGGAAACTTTGTCGATGATAACAAAAAGGACAACAAAAGGGGCACACATCCTGTCATCATGTGAGGATCACATGTGTGGAATAACAAAATGTGAAGAAAAGAAGTTTTTACAAAACACCCCGTAAACCACACTCTAACCTAATTCACTTAACCATTTTATACCACGAGTGCAATGGGTCTGTACGGGATTCCAATGATGCAAAAGCCTCTACGTACGATCAGGGATCACGCAGGATTCGATCACTTTTTACTCGAACCCTAGGATCCTTTTCACGCGAGCAGACTGTATATACACAAAGTCTCTCCTACAGACTACACCTTTCACTTATCGATGTGCTCTTATATAATATACGCAGATTACGTAATAATTCAGAGAAGTTAAACTTTAAATGCGTTTAATT